GAAACCCTTGTTTTAGGATCTTGGGTTACGGCTGAGGGCTGCGGGCGTTTGACTGTCGGCACAAATTCAGAATTCGAGAACCCTAAACCCTAAACCCTAAACCCTAAACCCTTAACCCCTAACCCTTAACCCTTCACCCTAAATCCTTAACCCTAAGACCTATAAGCCCTAAGACCTAAACCTAAACATTTCCCTCAGAGACGCTGTTTTGACGAAGGCTCGATAGGGATTACCCTATGCTTAGGAGATCTTCGGGCAACCCCTGCCAGACCATCGTTTGCAAGGCGTCGCGGGCAAGGTACCCCCTTTTCTTGGGGGAAAGTCCCACGTGCATCCGCCTAAATCCCAAACACTGAGTTTGAAGTCATGTATCCCTAGATTCCTCCTGGACTTCCTCGAAGCCGAGACTTCTTTCTGCTGCTCCAACATTCAGAAACCTTTGCGGCCACACTTGCGTTCAGATTGAGGGTCTTGGGTTTGGCCCTGGGGCTTGGGATTCATCTCTCTTCTTGCCTCATTGTCAAACAACCCTAAAGCACTCATCCCTGCACCTCCCTGGCCATGTCATCCCCAGGCAGGAACGCTTCGTGTGCGTCTTTAAGAGCTTGGAGTGGGTTCAAGGTCTAGGCTTCAGGCTTTGGGGTTTAGGGTGCTAGTAGAAACGGAGTCAGTCATCAATGCAGATCATGGCCACACAAGACTCTTCAACAGTCAAGTCAACAGTAAACTAAACACTTCCGAAAAGGAAGTAGTAAGGAGCCTTGCCCACAACATATTCCAACTTTCTGGATTGTAGTCTCGATCTGCGCTGTTGATGCACAAAGCCCGAAATCCTTAAACCCTGTGCTGCAGAGGCACATGCCGTCGGCAGTTTAACCGGCGCAAACATTTGCACCCAGGGAAGGCCTGACTTGGATCCTCAGTCGTGGCCAGCTTACACAGCAGGCTTGACAGTTTGGGGAGTGTTTTGGGTTGAGGGTTGAAGGTGACGTAGTGTGGTGGACAATAGACCCTCACCCTAAGTGGAGACACGAGCCCTCCCCTCCGCGATAGGCAATTGACCCTCTCACAGACTTGAGGGTAGTGGCGTGGTCGATACTCGATTCTTTTGCTGTCAACACCCAGGCATACTTGCTTGGGGGCTAAAAGTGGTCCCCCCCCCCCCCCCCCCC